GACTGCCGAGGGAGGCTGGTTAGGCAAAGCAATCTTGTGTTTGGCCGACCCTCACTCTCTTGGGTGTACGTATCTGCATTGCCCACAACACCTAATTGACTATCTTGCTGGGGCAACGATGCCTAAGTGCACAGAACAGAGGGGCAGGGTGCTCCCATGGTGTGCACGAGGTGGCTGGGGTTTCAGCAGGTACCAGGAACACAGGGTTATTAATCACTTCGTTGTATAGTTACGGCGCACGTAGGCAAAGCAATCTTGTGTCAGCATACCGGGCTGGCCGGCCCACCCTCACTCTCTTGGGTGTAGGTATCTGCATTTCCCACAACACCTAATTGACTATCTTGCTGGGGCAATGAGGCCTAAGTGCACAGAACAGAGGGGCAGGGTGCTCCCATGGTGTGCACGAGGTGGCTGGAGTTTCAGCAGGTACCAGGAACACGGGGTTATTAATCACTTCGTTGTATAGTTTCGGCGCACGTAGGCAAAGCAATCATGTGTCAGCATACCGGGCTGGCCGGCCCACCCTCACTCTCTTGGGTGTAGGTATCTGCATTGCCCACAACACCCAATTGACCATCTTGCTGGGGCAATCAGGCCTAAGTGCACAGAACAGAGGGGCAGGGTGCTCCCATGGTGTGTACGAGGTGGCTGGGGTTTCAGCAGGTACCAGGAACACAGGGTTATTAATCACTTCGTTGTATAGTTTCGGCGCACGTAGGCAAAGCAATCATGTGTCAGCATACCGGGCTGGCCGGCCCACCCTCACTCTCTTGGGTGTAGGTATCTGCATTGCCCACAACACCCAATTGACCATCTTGCTGGGGCAATGAGGCCTAAGTGCACAGAACCTGTCTCTTATACACATCTAGATGTGTATAAGAGACAGCCCTGCAACCAGACTGCCTGCACTACCCCTGCTTTTTTTTTTCCCTTTCCTGAGCGGGTCCCCCACTTTAGTCCTGTGCAGACTCTGAGAATCTGATTGCTTTGAGTTGTCTTTTGTTTGTTTGATTTTTCTTTTGTAATGTTACGATCATGGTCGTTCCCAAAGTGCAAAATCACAATGAAAGACAATGCCACCCAATTGCGAAAGAAATGAAAGCACTGTCAAAGAGATAGAGACCGAAGAAGAAGAAGAAGAAGATGTACATTTAGACCAATGACAAATCCCCCTTCTCTCTCTACCTTCCTCCTCCTCCACTTCGCCAATCTTATTCTTCTTCCAATAATAATCATAACAAGTGGATGAACCAGAATCAATATCCGAAGTTCCCTCTTACTGCTGACACAACAACAGGTCGACCATAGCCATGGCTTCCCCCCCTTCTTCTTCCTCTCACATGCCTAGGCTATGGCGGACTACTGAGGGCCCTGCCCTCTTGTCCAAAGGACAACCCGAAGCACCTATGGCGGTGCACTCCTGTCCAAAGGACAATGCAAAGCAGCTATATGCCGCTGCTCACTAAGCCGCCATGCCTGACTCTGCCTCGAGCGTCCTTGGTGTGGCAGTACCCCAACTGGGGCCTCCCAGATGCAGCGCCCAACAAGGTGATGAAGATGGTGTTCGCCATAGCCAGTTAGGTACCTTGCCACTTCCTCCTTCGCCCCCTTCTTCCTCCTCCTCAGGCTGGGCTGCTCGCCATAGCTAGGCTGAGCACCCAGCTGCTCTTCTCCTCCAGGCAGCGGTTCCCAAGTCCAGCGCTTTGCTCCAGCAGCATGTTGCCAATCCTTGCATACCGCAAACGAGGAGGAGCTGCTTGCTTCTCCTGAAATAGGATATAGCGGCCTACTCGCCTTTTGGGCCGTGACTTCCTAGGCCGAGCGGCCTCGCAGCAACCGGTACCACCTCCCTTTAGGAGGGAATCATCATTGCAGGCTCTGTTATCGTCCGGACAGGCCCTAGACTCAGGCTACTTGGACTGGCACCGGCCTACCTCTAACCTACCGCTACTGGGCCTCTAAAAATGCCAACTTTTGTCTTTTTCTGCTCGGCCTCCAGTACCCGACACTTCTACCACTACTTGAGCGGTACCGGCCTATCTGCTTGAGTGTTTTTCCCCGCTGTTCTAAGTGGCGCGGGCCTATCCTCTCTACTTGAGTGTTTTCCCCACTGCAACCGTGAAAGACACGGCCACAGGTAAGTACCAGTCCAAGTGGCGCGGGCCTATCCTCTCTACTAAGTGGCGAGGTGGGGGGCGTTACACGCGTGACACACGGCACGATCTTTGTATCCCATTTTCTTTTTCGTTGCCCCCTTTCCTCTGTGTGTGTGTGTGTGTGTGTGTCCTTATGGCGAGTTTGTAACTTCATTTGTGTGTGTCGTCATGGCGAGTGTGTGTGTGCGCGCGCGCGCGTGTGTGTGTGTGTGTGTGTGTGTGTGTGTGTGTGTGTGTGTGAGATAGATAGATAGATAGATAGATAGATAGATAGATAGATAGAGAGAGAGAGAGAGTATGCGTGTGTGTGTGTGTGA